TTTATTATTTTTAAGTCTTGAGATCTGCTTGAGCGAGCACCCCCACACTTATTTTCTCTTTGAGAAATGAGAGAGATGACAGAAAACAAAGCCTCTGGCACACACAAAGTGAGAGAACACACAGGAATATCCCTACCTAAGCAGCTGCCTAGAAAAACACAAGAAACAACAAAAAAATTAAATCACTTTTGGAGAGAATGGGTATGAGGATCTTGCCTAAGGTAGTCTTAACACTGGGTGTGGGGAAAAATGACTCTCCAGTTAAGCCCTGATATGTGGTCACACTCCACACCACCTGTGTGTCCTTGAAAACTAAGCCTGTGTTCTAAGAATGTAGTAAAATTGACCCTGATGCATCTTAAATACCACATCAGCTATCAGGGATGCCTTGTTTCTTTGGCTTAGAAATACAGTGTTCCCACTGAGTGGAAGACACTGGGTCTACTATGCCAGTAATCCCTAGACCCCTTAGAATCTGTTAGGACCTGGAACACATTTGTAAGCCTCTATCTGCAATTCACACAAACTCCTCTAGGACACAACAACGCACTCTGCTCTAGTGTCCATCAGATTCTTGATGAACATTCCACCAGCCCCTCACAGAAAGCACCTTGTCATGATGGGCAAAGGTGTGACTTATGCAGTTGAGGGGGAGAAATAAATAGTGTCCATGCACTTCTGCCCTTTTCAATGCTTTATTCACTCAAATCACTCAATACAATTTTACTCTATAGGTTCTTAATCAAGAAAATGACAATCCTTAATGCTAGGCACTGCAATAGACAGCAAACAATTCTAGGTTAATTCTAAGTACTGCAAACTCACTTAATCATGACAGGCTCATGACAGATATTCCTTCTGCGTGCTAAGCTTGAGTACCAGATCTAAAATCTCAAGCCTTAGGCTTTAAGTCCAGCAGACATACCCTTACTCAGACCATAGTGATCAGGCCAGGAACTGATGGAGGCTTCCTCTGATGTGGAGCTGATGGCCGGCTGAGGAGAAGGTCATAAGGAGAATTCACTGTTCTCACCAGGGTCAAAATGTGGCTGTAGAGTTTGAGAGCAGTGAGAACAATACAGAGGATCAGGCAAATGAAGAGAAGAGTTGGGATGTCAGTCCAGGTCCTCATCAGGCTCTCCGGCATGTGGGCATCAGTGTTGTCTAGCTGAATATCTGTTCATTTACTCCATCATTTATACTGAATTTTGGGGCTTCTGACCGCTCTTTCAATCCCTATCAGCTGGTACCGTGTTTCTCAGTGATGTCATTCGTCCTGAGGTTAAGGCATCTGAGCTGGTGGTTCCCACCCTGATTTTCTCCACCTCTTGCTTTATCAGGGCAAGGGCAACATGACAGAGACTTCATTCTGAGTTTTGTCTGGGTTGTGAGAAGTGACTTGTCTATGTCAGGCTATGCCTGATGACTATATTAGAGGGTTCCGTAGGTGTGCCTGGTGAGACTGCAGGTTCAAACTGGAGTTTTAAAATGGAGTTGCTTAGGCTAAGGCCTAAGTCCATCTATACACACCTGATACATACTTACCTAATAATGACCAGTACCTATACCATTTAAACTTACCCTGTAGAGAGTGATGCTTCCTCAGCTCCATTCTCATAGTGAAGTTTCTGGCTTATAGCCAACCAGAGTTACCTGCCCTTTGGTGATTGCTCTGGATCAGCCATGTTCACTTAAAATAATCCCTTCATGCCAAAATTCAGGCCCTCTTTGCTGATTTCTGTCCTAATCCAGTCACCAGATGCTCAGTGGTCCACCTGCCTGCTGACTTGTCCTAACGTCAGTTCTTGATAGTGCCTAGATTCTCAAGAGCCCCCAGGGAGTGCCCTCCATCTGGTTGCCCTATGTATCCCCTACCTCCATGCTGGCCCAACTCTGCACCTGGGCCAGCTGAGGGAGTCTCAGACACATGAGTAGACATTTTTGTTTGCCCATGGTTCTCACCCTATTGACGGTTCTTGGTTCAAACTGGATTAGTGTAATCCTGCTGTGTCCTGGTAAATTGGGCAAAAACCCCTTTGCCTTGGTATTCCTTGCAGCCCATTTAACTCACCTCATTCTTCACATCAGCCCATTAGAAGGTTGAAGTATATCTCAACCCTTCCTTTCCTACTTCTTTGTCATTCCTGACAACTGATAGGGACAAAAAGCACTGGGCTTTTGTTTCAATCTCTTCATGACAAAAAGCACTGGGCTTTTGTTTCAATCTCTTCATACCATGGCCTCCTCCTTTCTCTACCCACATGACTAAGTGTAAATGGTAGAGGGGGATAATTATAAATTTTTTTATTGGTTGTTCAAAACATTACAAAGCTCATGATATATCATCTTTCATACATTTGACTCAATTGGGTTATGAACTCCCATTTATAAATTTATGAAATCAACATCCTATAGTAGGGGGTCTTTCCAAAATAGTATACCTGTGAGGTAACAGAAAACAGATGACCAATTTACATGGAATCTGGACTTAAGGAAATGTGATCAATATCTGAATATCTATTGAATATAATTTCATATGTTATAATTCAGAAGACAACTTAAGATCTTGTGTCTTTTCTGTTTCATAGCATCTGTGTAACAATTCAGTTTAAGAGATGCTTTCTCTAATCTCTCATTTGATCACGAGCATGACCTTTTGAGTTAGTTGTCATTATCATCTGTCATTCTTGGGTGAAGAGAATGAGCCTCTGTGATCAAGTCATCACCCCTAATCTTACACCTCCTAGGTAGAGAGCCAAGTTTCAAGCCAAGTGTCTTGATACTGATCCCAGTGTAAAGAAAGGTTATTTATTCTTAATTGTAATTTTTTATATTCTTATTCATAGAAAGCCCTTTTGGAGAGATTTTCATCTAGAGTTGTAGAACATCACTTCTAGAGTCTTAACGTTCATTCATCCAAAGGCATTAACATCTTCAGTATACCTGCTTTTCTGATGCATTTTTTCTACTTTCTTCTTTTTAAGTAATTTTCATCCAATATAAACATTATTGGATCAGTGTTTAGAGAGTGATCTCTTGATCATATTGCTTGCCTCTAATACACTGCCTTGAAAATTTTAAAAATAATGTCATTAGCATATTTTTTCCTGATAATAGCTATGTGCTGCTTCCTTAACTTCCTAACTATTACAGATAGAGGGTACCCCAGACTGAAATCTACTGAGTGACCTTATAGGTATGAATGAGAGCGGCATTCCAAGACAGTCAGAAGGTCTGGTGTGGAACCAGAAGCATTGAGTTTGTAATCATGGAAGTTAGCAAAACCAAATGGCCCATGTAGGAATCATGTTCATATGCTCAGATTTGCTCAGATTTCACGGTCTATCACTCAACTGGCCAGTGCAACTCAAGGTCTGTGATGCAAACTTTCCTGTGTGAGAGTGAGGAGCAGAAAACAGGAAGCTGTTTCCCCCTCAGAACCCAAGAGGCTCCCTGGCAGAGGGGGAAACAATTGCTCCACTTGGAAAACAGGATTTATCTTCATAGACATGAGAGGCTCTGAAAAGTTGTAGGTACAGCTCCAGGGAGAAGAGAACGCTCCCTGTAATACTTTGCCTTGGAAGTTTCTGCTCTAAGATTTGTTTATTTACTTGGGACCATGTCTTGCTTACTAAATTTATGTAAGCTTTTAAATTTAGCATTATTTTATATACTTTCTGTATATTCAGATAGCCTATTTTAATCCCATTGCATTAATATTTACATAGCTTAAGTAATTCTCTATTATTTATTGAATTTATTCTCCATATTAGAAAAAGTGCAAATAAACCATATTTTAGCAGAGTTTCTTTTTTTGAATCTGATCTGAAAATTGAAATTACTGAGTTGTCATCTGATTAGTCCTGTGTGTCTTTTTCATGATTCCAGGTTGTTCTTTGAAATGATTATATAATTTCATGTGACCAGCTCCACTGAACAGTGGGTTTTATGACCTTGTAAATTTTGTTCTCATTTTATTAGATAAGGCATTGCCACATGGCTGTTTTATTTTGCTAAGCCAAACATTCTGCCAAATGTGGGTTCACTGTTTGTATCTTTTCTGATGCTCTGTTCATATCAGCTACCCATTTATGCTGCAGGAATATTTACCTTCCAGCATTATGCAGTTGTAAACTGTATTAAATAGTTTAATTTTGTATTAACTTAATTGTCTTATTCTCATATTTTAACTCCTAACCAATAGAAATATGTTGGGATATGTGAAGATTCTTATAAATCTCGAATACATTTCACTTTAATATATAAAGAAAATATAAGTTATATTTCCCCCATGGTTGTGTGCAAGTTTTGCTTCCTGTTAGGTTTGAGCTGTCACAGGATGGGCAGGTGCTGCCCCAGGGGATGGATCAAAATATGGAAACAAATCATCTGGGGGTGGTAAGGTGCTTTCCTGTCATGCTGAGACTGGGAATGTAGTAGAGATGCTGGAGCTGGATATGGAAAAATAGTAATTCAGGATAAATCTGTCAAGTCATATCTTAAAATGAGCTAGAAATCAAAGAAAGGAAGATATGGGATGAAAATATGCTTCAGTGGTTGACCTTGGTTTTACCAGCATCCTGCCTTTATCTTCGAGGACAAAGTGTTAGAACAAGCAAGTGAAACAAGGGGGTGGATCCCAGTCACCCCTGCCACTGACTACTGAGTCCTTGCTCTTTAACTGTGATGGACTTATCGAAGATAAATGAAAATTTGCTTAGGGTATGCATGTACTGAGAACAAGGGCTCATATTTATTCTTTCCCATTCCTGTTTTAAAAGTAGAGCAATTATGCAGCTAAATGCTGTGTGTATGTGTATGTGTGTGTGTGTGTGTGTGTGTGTGTGTGTAAAAATAAATCCTTTCATAAATTTATTTTTCCTTGCAAAAAAAATCTGTTGGCTTATCTGATCCCAGGAATAAAAATAGCTTTGTATATTTTAATCATTAATATGTGATTTCCAATTTAAATACAATTCACTGAACTATTTTCTTTCTAGTCCCCAGAGAATTCAGAGGGCAAAGATGGATCCAAAGTAACCAAACAGGAGGTAAGTGTATCTTTGACATCCTCTTTTTAATTCTTTATGTTGAAATGTTTAATATGATTGTCTATATCTAAATGAACACTGTTGTAATAATATTGCTGAGCCGGGTGTGGTGGCACATGCCTCTCAAACCAGCAGCCCAGGAGGCTGAGGCAGGCGGATCAAAGCCAGCCTCAGCAATAGCGAGGCGCTAAGTAAGTCAGTGAGACCCTGTCTCTAAATAAAATATGAAATAGGGCTGGGAATGTGGCTCAGTGGTAGAGTGCCCCTGAATTCAATGCCCATATAAAAAAAAATTGTCCATACTACATAAATCAGATAAGTGTCTGGGTGTCATCTTGTTTGGCCAAAGTATATTTCATCTGAGTACACTGATTGAGATATTACTATGTTGTTTATGTTTCTACCTGTTAGTTATGCTGTCTATCAAAGCAGATACTGAAAGACTTCCTTTTGGGAAAAGAGTGAGATAATAGGTAATTCATATAGGAGAACAAAGTCTTCCATTCATAGCAAGAAAATGAAAGACTGTTGATTTCATAATTTTCTGCTCCAGTGAATGAATTATCAATTACTCTTTAGATTCTAAATATTCACCTAGGAGGATTCTCCTCTAAGGTCAAAAACTATGGAAGGATATATAATATGTCAAAATAGTAAAGCTTTTGTTTTTAATTAAGAAAACTCTTAGGGTATTAGGATAATCAATTAGACAATGAATCAAAGATATTTTGTATTAAAATACAGAAACTTCCAAAAGGCCAGGAACTTGAGAGAAATGTTTGTGTTTGAGCCTTGCTGATAATATTATGACCATGTGAAAGGAGATGGACTAAAAAGTAGGAAATGAGACGTATATATGATGAAAGCCCTTCCCTTTTGCACAGAGCTTTACAGTGTGTGGAGAACTACTGCTCTTACCCTTGCACTTATAAACTTGAAAAAGACAGAAACAATATCCAGTTACAGATTCTTTAATTAGTGATTCACATCATAGTTGATAATTCAGAGAAGTTTATCATAACACCATCACAAGATTTGTACAAGGAAATTAGTTCTGCCAAATGGAAACTCTTTAGCAGAAACTATAAAGAAGTAATCTAAAAGCAAAGCAAACAAAAGTGCCTGTCTTTACCATCCCATGTACCTAGCTGGGCATGGTGGCACACACCTGTAATCCCAGCCACTAAATAGTTCAGAGCAGGAGGATCAAAAGTTTGAGTCCAGCCTAAAGAACTTATTGAATCCCCATCTCAAAATAAAATAAAAAGGGTGGGATGTAGCTCAATGATAGAGTGCTTGTCTAACATGCAAGAGTTCAATCCTCAATACTGCAAAACAAACAAACAAACAAACAACAAAAAAAAAAAAAAACGAAGAAAGCAATGGCGTCCATTATATACCTGGCATTCACTGTCTTCCTGAGTTTGGCATAGTCATGAAGTTTGTGATCCAAAGTCAAGTCACCATACAAATACTAGAACCAACCCCAAATAATAAAAGCCAATCCTAAATACTTAGGAAATACTTTTTGGAATACTTCTTAGGAATACTTCTTGGAAAATGGCAAAGTATGATTTTTAGGATAGTTCTTAAGTGTAATTAACCTTAATGTTTTTAGATTTAGTTACCAAAGAAAAGTGTTTGGGTTTCTCCTTGAAGACTGACATTTTAGTTGATCTGTCAATGAGAAAATCTAGAAATCATTATAGATAATTGATAGCAGAAAGTCTTCCCAATCCCTCTATGCTACAAGCAAATCATGCTGTTTAGAATACATATAAAATATATATATTGCTTACATAGCTGTCATATACATGCATATACATACATATTTATTTATACATACATGTTTAGCCCAAGGACCTTTATTATTTATTTATTTATTTATTTATATTATGCTTTTATTATTTTATTTTTCTATTTTGTTTCTATTTATTTTGTCTATTTTTAATATTATTAGTAACAAAAATCTTTCAAAACAAGACTCTTTACCTGTCATTTAAGCCAAGGCCAGATTAAAACTCATGCTATGTCTACAAGATGTCAGCACAATTGCTGGAAAAGTGAAAAGGTCAGTCACTGAGCTGGTGACTTTTGGTAAAAACTGTCAGAGAATACACTGATTGATTTTTTTTTCTGTTGAATTGAAATTCAGTTCAGGCTGAATTTTCCAGTTATGTCATTGAGTATGCACAGCTTTGACTCTACTGAATAGAAAACAATTACAAAGGGGGATCCTCTTTTGAAAGTCTTCCACCACTGCTGTGGTATTTGAAGGGCATTGTGCAGAGTGTACAGTATTTCAGGAGACTTGAACAATAACTGAAACCATATATTATGATCATTATTTGAACAGTTTACAAACCTTTTCACATTCATTATTTTGTCTGATCCATACAATAGCCCTAAGATTCCTTCCTTCCTTGTCTTTCTTTCTTTCTTTTTTTTTTCTTCTTTCCTTCTTGTGCTAGAGATCAAACCCTGGGCCTTAAGCATTCTAGGCTCATGCTTTTCCACTGAGCTATACCCCTAGCCCCAGATTCATTTCTTAACAAAAATATATGAGCACCTAAAATATGCCAAGCACTATGGATCCCACAGGAAACAAAACCCCAAAATTCCAGACTTTGCAAAGCTTCCATTATGGTAGGGGTAAAGCAAAAATAATTGGATATTTGCTATAAAGAAAAATAAACCCAGGTGAGGGAATAGCAAATGTTGGAGAAGTGCTGTTTTGATAACAAGGAGATGTTATTATCCCTGTTTTAATTAGCGAAAATAAGGTTGTCAGAGAGAGAACAATTTGCTCACTAGTTGTGGAACCAGTAAAGATAGCTGAATCTCCTGATCCAAAATCCTCTGTCCCATTTGCCTTTTTGGCATTCATAAAGATACAGTTAAATCCAATTTCCAGTCTTCTCCATTGCCTATACAAGGCTCTATCTTTCCCTACTTCCCAGTTTTAAAATTTCTATTTACCTTCTCACTTGTCTTTGAGAATTCAAAGCAACTTGACTTTTGGGTTTTGATTAGAAGTACATGGTCAGGCTTAGAAGCAAAAGAAATCTCATAAAAATAAGACTACTTCCAATAGAATGATTCATACGTTTGAAGCAATATTCAACAAATTCTAATGATTCTCCTTCAATCTAGCTATCTCTGGGAACTTTTTTTTGTGTGTGAGATTAGACTTGTTGCTATTTTTGCAACTGTGGAAAACTTCGTGTATTTCAGGATAGCCTTCACCAGAATTTTCTCCAACCTAGGAAATGATCAATTAATCAAATTATTACTGGATGATTCTAATGTGCTCAACACCAGAAACCACAGTAATAAACCATCAACTTTATTGTATTGATGTCTGTCAATCTCATGGTTCATGCTTTTTTTTTTTTTTTTAACTGAAGATTGAACCCAGGGCCTTGACCATTCTATTTAAGCACCCTACCACTGGGCTACATCCCCAGTCCTTTCTCTTTTTTTTTTTCCGCTTTATTAGGCAGATCTCAGTAGGTTGCCCAAGTAGGCTACCCTTCTGCCTCAGCCTCCAAAGTAGTTGGGATTACATGTGTGCACAATTACACCGGACCGGTGACTTGTCATTCTAAAAGCCTTCTTCTTCTCTGAGAGTCATTGTTTGGCCTGCTTTTCCTGAGGTTTCACACTTAATCAACAAATGAGGAGAAATTCTTAATATCTTCTTTTTTCCTAGTCCTACCCAACCAGCCTGAGTCTTAATTTAAGTACTTCAAATGCTAGTGTTTTAACAAGGAAAAAATAGCAGTCTAGTCTATTTCATATCCAATAAATATAGTTCAATCATTTATAGATTTTAAGGCTGTGAAAGCTGATGGAACTTTCCAGGAAGGCGTCCACACTTGCATGCATAATCAGTACTGCTGACTGAGTGAAAGGTTAGTCTCAGCCTTCACTGTTTGCATGAAAAAGAAAATCTCTTGTAGTGGTTGCTAGAAAGAAAATCATAAGAAAAGTCTTTTTTTTATATAACATAGAAGAGCTGGTTAATTTTAGGCAGGAAGTCATAAAATGATTTTACAGTAAAAGATAATGCTTTTTAGAGACTGACTGGTTTAGACAGCTTATAGAGGGAAGTTTTGTTTTTGCATTAATTACTTAAGCTTTTTATTTTGGAACTCTTGTACTGAACTTGAACTAAGTCCTTTCAGGCCCTGCATAGCAGCAGCATTGGAATGTCCGCCTGGAAATACAAGGGCTTTCTGACACCACTCAGCCTATTCAATGTGTTCAGGTGTTCACATGGGGAAGAGAGGACAAGAGCAAAAGCGTCACAGAAGGGGAATTTTTCACGACTTTGTCCCACTTCAGTGAGATTTTACACAGGACCACTAGTTGACAGGCAAACACGCTTGGCTCCTTGTCAGGCCCACATTAGAGAGTAAATTAGTAATATACTAATTTCTGGCCACTTCTTTTCATCTCAACATATATTGAGGGCCCCCTGCTAGACACTGGAACTACCAAAATATAAGAGAAAGATTTTTTTTTTAATTTTTTTTCAAAGAGAGAGAGAGAAAGAAGAGAGAATTTTAATATTTATTTTTTAGTTATTGGCGGACACAACATCTTTGTTTGTATGTAGTGCTGGGAAACGAACCTGGGCCGCACGCATGCCAGGCAAGTGCGCTACCGTTTGAGCCACATCCCCAGCCCAAGAGAAAGATTGTCCTGAATAGTAGTGATAGATGTGAAACAGAAGGGGTGAACAATGAGATGCAGTCAACATGGTGCCATCTGCTGACAACCAGGCAGGGGGATTCACATAAGGCCCATTCACTTCTCTTTAGCATAGAGGCTTCCACTTTTCTTCTTAGAGGGTAACATGCTGCTTTCTGTACTTGTGAGATGGTGACAATAGTTCTTGAGGCGATACAGAAGCTTTGAAGCTGATCTCTGTTTAATAATGGTGGATCCTCCTTTGCTCCTTCATGCTCAGCATGTTGAAGAAACACAAGACACCCACTATTGCCCAGTTAGAGGGAAAATGTTACCTCTTTTTCAGTGATAATCAGGTAATGTGATTGACTATCCTGGGAAAGACACTGAAAGATTTGGGTCTGATTCCCAGAGACTTGTGGGTGCATCATCAAAATGCATCTATGATAATCATAGCAAGCACTGTGGTATTTCCCATGGAGAATGTCATACGCACCCTTCTCTCCTGGTAATCCCAGGGCAGTGATCTAGCTGTGTGCTGACCCCATACATCCTCCTGCTCTGGGCAGTGAGTGTATCCCCGTCAACCACTTAACCTGCACAGTCACCTATTCTCAGCACATTCTGCTAGCTGGCCTTAAGTCCAGCTCTGATCTTTCCTTGAGACCCCAAGGTTAAAATTATTCATGGAGGCCCTGGTTCCTCATTTCCTTCTGTAGTATAAAGAAAGATGAATTTAGATTCTCTGGCTGTTTTCAGTAAGAAATGCGATGTGGAAGCGGCAAGAAATATTTCTTCCAGTTTGGTGTGAGCAGCTGACCTAGACTGACCTAAGCACGACTTCAAGAATTTCCATGATTTCTTGCAATCATGGCACAGGTTCCTATTTTCCACTTTTGCTACCCTCCTCAAGAAAAAGTATTGGAAACATTCAAGCTATCATAATGAGGCACAGTCTTCATAAGGGAGTAAGAATTAGGAAAAAGCTTGAATTCATTTATTCAGCAAGTATTTTTGAGTATGTACTGTTTGTTGGGTAGTATACTATTCTTCTGGAAATGGAGCAGTGAATAAACAGACAAAATGTATGGAGTATTTATTTCTGAAATACTTGTAAAGAAGGGCAAATGTGGTTTTAGCATGTGAAATCCCCCGGGGAGCCAGCTTCTGCTGGATGGTAAGTAGAATATCAATTCTGTGTGTTATCACTGAAGCACCTAGGACAGTTCTGTTATTTTAAATTTTCTTTACAGTCTCATTTGCTATTAACTTGTACTATCCTTGAAGAAAATTTTTCTGAAAAAAATTCCAGACTTTAAGTTCAATATCAGTATCTAATCTGTACAGTCCCTCTCTTGGTTTTCTAAACTTTGAAATTAAAAGATAAGTGAACTTTTTACTTTAGTTAAATCTTTGACATCTTTTTTAGTAGATAAGTGTATTTGTTTTGTTATAGGCACAAAGAAGTCTTTCTTTCTTGTTAGCTGTGAAGATTCTTAGTCATTCTCTCTCTTCCGACATAGCAAAAAATGGGAGACTCCTGCTATTTTCGTTTCTTATTATATGTCTTCTTGTATTAATTTGTAAGCTTCAGTTCCATTTTTTAAAGAACAAGAATAAGACTAGAGACCATTTCTTAAACTTCAATTTTATCACAAAAGAAAAGATTATGGTGTAGGATGGAGTCAAAAGTCAACTTCCTTTCCCTTTTTTCTCACCATGCCCCTGATTGGTAGACACCAATTATGTGAACATTGTGCCTACATCTCTTTAGGAACACTTTGTCTGGAGTTATTATGGTACCCAGGCAACTTGGGTGCGTTTCACCTGGAGAGGGTGATGGAAGTCATATATTACATTCTATCAACAAAGTAGGATATGTCAAGAATAATTTTTTAAAAGTCAACTTGGTTGTATGTAATTACAAAAATGTTTTTGTTTTTTCTATTCCTTTTGTAGCCCACGAGACGGTCTGCCAGATTGTCAGCAGTAAGTGCCTCAGAACCCCTTTGGTGTTTCTACTTATGTGTACATTTTCCCTTTGTCTAAAGCAAAGCAGCAAAAGGAAGATTAAGGTGGTATTTCCCTTGAGTTTCTTTATTTTATTTTTGAAAATTACTTAGGGTCACAATTTCTATCAAATCTGACCCATGTTTACCAAGCAATTCACTTAATCAGATGTATCAGTGAAAATCAGTGACCAGTGCTATGACCAGGAAAATAAAGCCCAGGGTGTTGTTTGATATTGCTAGATCTCTGCAATGAAAGAAGTACCTTAAGCAAAATCATTGCCTTTAAACTGTATACCTGATGTGCTGAAGTAGACAAGATTTCTGATGTTTTGTCCACAACTCATACTTTAGAACATTTTATGCCAGCATCAGAATGCGGTCTGAATCCATACACTTTAGCCTCATTTCAGACCTGGAACATCTTTGGAAATATAGTGATTTTACCTTGTTACTTGGAGTCTTCTATGAGTGGGGATTAGAATTGAAAGTGGAATGGGCAGGTGTGGTGGAGCCTCAACCATAGCTGTGCTTCACTCTTCCTCACCAGCCTTTGTGTACACCACACTGGCTCTTGTGCTCTATCCTGCTGCCCTCCTGATGTACTGGTTCTCATTCTACTAGCAGACAGATCAGTCTGACTTTAGTGGAGGATTTTGGTCAGATTTCTGCAGCCCAAGCAGCTCACTGGGAAGGTGGTAGAAAGGGCTTGACCTGTTGGCTGATAGTGTTTATCCTGACACTAGATGTTATAAGAGCTGCAAGCTGGATTTTGTCCACAGCCCATACCTGTACACGGAAGTGGGTTTTAGGACTGGTCACAAGTTCAGAAATGTAGCTGAGTTTGGTTTAAGTGAGCCAGTGTTTCACTTGAGTTCTTGTAAGGTAGAGGTATCAGAGCCAGCAGAAGGATTTAAGAACTACAGATGCTGTTGTGAACCTCTAGTCAGTTAAAGGAATAGTCCTTGTATGTCAAAGGAAAACCCAAATTTAAAAGAAGACTTTCCCTGAATGCCAGGAACCAACTATATGAGCCCCTTCCACTGAGATCACTCTGTGTGCCAACACAACCTCCTCCAAGGCTAGCAGTATTATAGACTACACAACTTCCACTCTTGGTCCCATCAAAATCACTGACTGTTGAGGCAGGGTGAAAGGTCTGTCTCACAGAAAATATAAAAAGAAACTACTCATTGTAAATTGAGAAAATGTGTCTATTAATATATCAAAACTTAGAATAACAAGTGTTTTAGATCGTGAAAATTTAAGATCAATGAAAGCTGCTTTATTTGGGGAATAGTCTGCAGATTTAGAGTGTAAAAAGATTAATAAAAACTTTCCTTAGTTTTATTTTTGGTATTTGAAAAGTCATTTCTAACAGTCTGTCTTCTGGAGTTGCATTGCTTATAGTTGCACTTTATACCCTGGATGAAAAGGGGCAGATTCAATATGACCCTTAACCTCTTGGAGACTTAGAGGAGGACATAAATTTTTTCTCCATAGAAAGAGACCCTGGCCAGTGTTTTCTATTTAAAAACCATTCTTCTAGTGTTTGGAGAAAATGTACATTTTTTTCTAACTCTATGAGAATATTTGCCTGAAAATATCTACAGAGAACCCATGGTTTAAACTGGTTATCTTTCCCCAGTGCCCACAAGTGCCTCTTGGTCTCAGACCCTGTGGAGCTGGCTCTATGGAGGAAGAACCATGGCCAGAGGGCTTTAGGAACTGCTTCTGAGAATAGGAGAGAAACCACATAAGACAGGAGAAAATAGTTCCTAGAGGGCTCTCTTGCTAATATTAGCTGCAAACTCTTAAACTTTAGGAGCCAACGGTGGACATGTTATCATTATAATTGTGTTCTAATGAAAGCAGTAGTGACAAATGAGCTCAGTGTCTGAGTGGGCGAGAGATTGTCACCTTAAGCTAGCATGGGAAAAGATGAAAGTAGCTTGGATAGAGAAGTTGAAATCTACATCAGAGCGGGAAGGATTTGGAAGTGATTTGAACTACTTCAGAGACAGCAGCCTTCATTACTAGATGGGCTTTGCCTGTGATTGTGCTGTGGTTTCTAGACTTTGGGGACAGCCAATGCGTCTGAATTCATTGAGCTGTTTGGCCAAGGGCCTGAGTCATTCCTCTTGCTGCTATGCTGTGATAAAAGGAATTACAGGGACATCAGTGATAGAAGCTTAACTCTGTTCCCAGAGAGCTATTCTGGACTGAGTCAGCTTTCAATCTCACCTACCATTGGCTTGCAAACCCAGGATGAAAATAGTTAATGAAATGCCAAAGTCTTTGTGCTATTCCCTGATGCTGAAAATAGGGTGCAATTGCCTTTGAATGAACAAAGTAGAACTCAAAATGGACAGTTGTCTTTGCAGTCCTTTTGAGTTCCTCTTAGTGATAACAATTCTCCTTGTCAGCATTTGTATAATTTATCTTTGCAGAAACCTGCTCCACCAAAACCTGAACCTAAACCAAGAAAAGCATCTGCTAAGGTAAGAGGTGCTCCCTTCCTCCCACCTTTGGTTTTTTAAACAATGAATAAATTATAATTCCTTACCCAAAAATCATCCAAGGAAACTCCATGTTTAATGGTTCAGGCTAAAATGTTCTGACCAGAAAGCCATTACCACTATTATGGGTTTTCTTAAAAGGCATAAAGCACAGTTTTATGCTTTAGCTGAATGTGTTTTCCATTTGGTCAATGAGGCGCAGGAAGTCAGAGCAGGTTGCTCTGGGAAGCCTTGTGTCCACCGGGGTATTGGCAGCTGCCTCAGAACATGCAGTTCACACGGTTCCTGGATGGGCCTGCAGGGAGGGGCTTCTGACCTCACATAACTGCTGGTAGAAGGCCAGTCTCATAACTAATAATAACAAAATACTCATTAATGCCAGCAGATAATTGGTAAATAATTAGCTCATACTATGCCAGACACTGTTCTGATTGTTTGACCATATAACACTCACATCAACTCAGTTGAAGTAGATATAAGCATCCTGTTTTGCAGGTGAGGAAACTGAAGTATATAATTATCAAGAACTTACCCCCCAAATTGCTTTTCTGTGCTCTGCCCTTCAGAGCACCATTCCTGTTGTGAATTGCCTGAAACTGTATGGTGATGTGAGTTGTTGATTTCAGAAACAGAACTCACTTAGGTAGCTTGGTCTTAAAATTAGAAAAGTTTTCCTCATCTGAGCCTTTGTTTTCAAGTGCTTTCTCAGCTTTCAAGTCATGCAAGCCACATATCTCCATATGAGATGTCTTGTTGGAAAGCAGCAGCAAAGTCACCACAGCCAGGTTCTCCCCTGCTCTGTTTCCTATGTCACCAAGTCCTGCTGCTGCCCTCTCAATGGCAGAATCACTTCTCACTGTGGAGAGGTGGTCCACCCATCCAGTAAATGAGGGCTGCCATCATGTTTTCCAAGGGAAGGGAAATTCCAATGGGCTTTCAAAGCAGGCTATTAGATTTTCATGGAGACTCAGTGTAACTCAGTTAAAACTCAGAATAGGGCTGAGGATGTGGCTCAAGCGGTAGCGTAGTCGCCTGGCATGCGTGGGGCCCGGGTTCGATCCTCAGCACCACATACAAATAAAGACGTTGTGTCTGCCGAAAACTAAAAATAAAAAAAAATATTAAAAAAAAACAAACTCAGAATAACTGGGTCCTCAGTTCCCTCTAAAAGGCCACCATGGTGGGCATCATTGTACTTGGACAGAGGTTAATTGATCTTGGCTAACCACACTGTGTCTAACATACTGTGTTTCCTTGTGCTTTGATCTTCTGTTAGAAAGAACCTGGAACAAAGATTAGCAGAGGTGCTAAAGGAAAGAAGGAGGAAAAGCAGGAAGCTGGAAAGGAAGGTACTACACCATCTGAAAATGGTGAAACTAAAGCTGAAGAGGTACTTTCCATAAATACCTCCCACTGATTGAATCAGTGTCTTAAAAACTGCTCAATCCTTCAGCCGGTGATAGCATGTTCATAATGTCTCTTTTTATTGCCTGTAATGTTATTGCAGATCCACATCTCTCGCTCAACTGTTAATGTCTCAGCCTCCAGAAGTACCCCACCCAGCACACTGTCAGTAAAGGGGCAGATTGAAACAGTGAGAGTTAAGGGTACAGTAGAAAATTCTGCATGTTTGCAGTGACTAGAATCAGATAGTAGTGTGATGTTTTTTATTATGAGCAGTGGGGGTTTGCAGGTAAGGTTTCTGTAGCTGTTTGAAAAGCAGAGAGCAATAAACGCAGCAGAGTGTTGGCATCATGTGCTCCTGCCTTGTCTGTTCTCCACCAAGAGTTGAAGTAGGTTGTACAGTAGAGCTGCAAAAAAAACATATGTTCAAAAGCTTGTGTGTTAGTGGGTGGACTTTTCCTTGGCTATCATAGTTTAAGTGATAACTATATCTTTTTTTCTTTCTTTTTCACAGGCTCAGAAAACTGAATCTGTAGATAACGAGAGAGAATGAATTATCATGAAAATTGGGGTTGATTTTATGTACCTCTTGAGACAACTTTTAAAAGCTATTTTTACCAAGTATTTTGTAAATGCTAATTTTTTAGGAGTCCACTAGTTGGCATACAAAATATATAAGGATGGACATTTTGCCCTCTCATAGTACTTTTTGGAAATCTCCATCATCCTCAAGCAAAATAAATATCAATTTAATATTGGAAGCTGTATGTAAAATTGACTCAGCATTCCATATATTTGCTTTAAAAAACTTGGTCCTGTGCATATGTGGTGTTTTTACTGTGCATATTTAAATTTTTCATGCAGTTTTTCTAGAGCAATAATCAGTGGTGCTTTTGTACCTAGGTTTTATGTGATTTTAATGAAACATGGATAGTTGTGGCCACCTGCTGACTATTTGTGGTTTAAAATAAAAGGTTTTCTTGTCTGCAAATTACCTGCCTCGTAGTATTTTTACTAAATTGAGGGATAGTTTCATTTTATTATTGCAAATGATGTAAGGAATTTCTAGTCTGTCCCATGACAATATCTCTAAAAAGTCAAACAGGACTGTTTTTTAATTTTTTGACCTTTAACATTGGTATTATTTTAATAAAACATCTGTGACTTCTAGTGTAGAAGGATTACATCTAACTCACTTTATATCAGATGCAACTTCAATATATAATAAAAGCTTTAAAATACCAGTGTTTTTAAAGTCTTTAAAAACAAGATACAGTTCTGCCAAACCATAAAAACCCTAAATACATGCTCATCTTTGAAAATCTCCCACTTTCAAAATGACAGAGTCACATCTGTGCTAAAATGCTGACCTCTTCATCGAGGACTTCACAGCTCTAAAAGCTCTTCAGCCAGCACGACCAAACTGCAGCCTTGCATCAGTCTGAGAGGAGGGTTGGCATAGATATTATTAGAGTTCTTTTCTAGGCTAAGAAGTGGGAGTGTGGGGTGTGTGTGACATACTGGAAGGGGAAAATCCAGACTGTTCAACCTTTGACTTTTAAATAGTATCCTTCTGTCTACAGAAAGAACAGAGCAATGCCAGGAACAGAAGAGGTGCTCTGTAAATGTGTTGTTATTGTTGTGTTCCCTTCAGAAGCTTGGGAACTTTCAGGACCTCAGGAAAGCTGAATTGTCTGGATTCCACTTAACTGAAGACTAGCATCTTTTAAGATGTAGAGTAGTTTCTGCAAAAAAACTGTTGACCCTCAGGACTTTAGACGCTTGTGTGTTATATTGTCAACATGTATTTTGTTGATAAGAACTTAAACTTGTGTCACTGTTCAAATCTGTCATTGTCATAGTATGTACACGATAATCTCATCTCTAGCTTTCTTGGTTTCTGTTCATTCATACCTTAACTCCTGAGTTTTAGAGATTCCCAAAACAGTTTTCACTTCAAAGAAAAATAGCTGGTATCCTGTGAACACTTTACAAAAAATATATTTAAAGTGTCATTAATACACAATTGAAGTACATTGCTGGCTAGTTTCCAATTCAGAAGAGCACTTTAGATTTACTTTTTAAAAATTACAAAAGTGATACAAGTGATTTTTTTAAATATCAGACATTGTAATAATATATAAAGCAAAAAAGCAAACCATTAAACTCTTCCTTTCCCCTATTTCTACATCCCAGAGGTAATTACTGCATACCATTTTGTCTATTTGTGTGTGTGTGTGTATATAAGTACATATGTGTGCATGCACATACACATATGTATGCACATAAATTTTTTAAAAGAATGAATCACACTATGTTTGAGTTTATTCAACCATAAAGTCCAGTTGAAGATAAAGATTTTCTTTTTTCTATTTCTTGTTTATTTTTTATTTTTTTCCAAATACTGGGGTGTGAATGCAGGGGCACTTTATCAGTGAGCTATATCCCCAGCTCTTTTAATTTTCTTGTTTTGAGACAGGTTCACTAAGTTACTGAGACTGACCTAAAACTTACAATCCTCCTGCCTCAGTTTCCTAAGTCACTGGGATAACAGGTGTGTACCTCCACACCTAGCACATTCCTATATTTCCAATACTTCAATGTTACCAATGAAACTACAACAAACATGTTTGTACACAAAGTTTTGTCTACTTATGTTTTTCTGCTAAGCTAAATTGTTTTCCTAGAAATGGAATGTCTAAATCAAAGGAAATGTACATTTGACATTTTGAGGACTACCAAAATCAATGCACCAAACGCCATTCCCACCAACAGCTTATGAATGCCATCTCTTCTACCTTTGGCAAACTCTAATTTTTACCAATCTAATAAGTGAGAAATATGCCAGTTATAATTTTCAATTGTTGTCTTACTGGTTAAATTGAACTTGTGTTTATTGACCATTTGAATTCAGTGAATTCTGATTTCTACTTTTCTATTGAGGAAGTAGAGTTTTAAATCATTGACTATTGATGCTATTACTTTCAAACACACAACAATCAAGAGTGCTGTGTGGAATACTGGTATATGTCTAAGTACATGGGTATTATTACCACATACTACAGTATGCCTGTGAATACTGTAGTACTGACAGCTCCCCCAGAACAACCAAGAACCTCAAATTGGTCCCCCAAACCTGAAGACCTGACTAATACAGTGCCAAAGCTAGGACAAGTTGCTTGCAATAAATTGTGCCCAATGGATTCTGTTGGAGTAAGAGGGGCTTCAAGAGGAATGTGGCCCACAAATTGCCAGTTCTGTGATAGGGTAATGTGAACCAAAAGTCAAGTTACATTGTTCTAACAATATGTAAACCATCCCTTAAAATCCTGAATGTACATTGATATAATAAGTTTGAAACAAGGTATAAACGAAGATAGTCAAAATTAGGGGGCTTTTCTCTTGGCTAGAGGTGTAAGTGCTACCCTTTAGGTTACCAGATGAGCAGGCTTAGGGAAGCCATCTCAATTCTCAGCCATCACATGTTAATGTGTCTTTTCTTCTAGTGCTTTTTTCTTAGTCATGAATCCCAAGTTTTTATTATTTTCTATTATTTTATTCAGAACATTGATTTTTAAATCTCAGGATAATTATAATGATTAAGGTAATAATATCCAGAATTTATTTGGTGCCCTATAATAAGCACTTTATATAAATTATCAATTTAAGAGATAATTTATGAATTCTCAAATCATATATCTGATAAGGGTCTCGAATCCAGGCTATATAAATAACTTCTAAAAGACAATCCACTTTGGAATCTCCACATCATGTACAGCCACAACACTGGGATCCTAATTAGAATAAGATATACTCCATGTTTGTATAAATATGTCAAAATAGACTCTACTGTCATGTATATCTAAAAATACCAAATAAAAATTTTTTTTTGAAAAATACAATTTAAAAATGGGGAAAGGATTTGAATAGACATATCTTCAAAAACACAGCAATAGCCAATAAGTGCATGAAGGGATGGTCAACATAAGTCATTAGGGAAATGCCTTTCAAAACATAATGAGATTAGTTTACACCCACTGGGATGGCTGTAACAATAACAAAAGGAAAATAACCAGGATTAGTGATAATATGAAGAAACTGGAGCTTTTATTCATTGCTGGTGGGAATATAAAATGGTATAGCCTTCTTGGAAAATAGTTTGGTAGCTCCTCAGAAAGTTAAACAGAGTTACCTTATCATCCACCAGTTCTAATATTAGGAACATATCCAAGGGAACTGAAAACATGTTCACACAAAAACTTGTATGTGAGTGTAGTAAGAGCACTCTTTATAATAGCCCCAACGTGAAAACAATCCAGATGGCCATCAACAAATAAGTAGATTAAAACAAAACAAAGCAGATGAACCTTGAAAACAATATACCAAGCACAATATACTAAGTAAAAGAAGGTAGGCATAAAAGGCCACATTTTTTTTTGTTTCCATTTATATGAAATGTCTATAAAAGGCATAGAGACACAGTAGGAGCTGTGGGAAAAAAGAAATGAGAAATGACAGCTAATGAGGGCAGGGTATTTTTTGGGGTGATGGAAATGTTGGAATTAAATGATGATGATGCTTGCATGACTTCAAATGTACTCACAACCACAGACTTGTACTCTTTATTTTAAAAATGGCATTTATTATGTTACAGAAAACACTTAGAATCTGGAGACCTGGGTTTAGAATCTGGAGACCTGGATTTAAATACCAGTACTACTACTGAGAAACTATATGAACTTAGATAGGTCAACTTCCACCTCTCAATATTCTCATCTCTAAAATAGAGATAATATATGCTTGACAAAGGCATTAGGGTTGAATGAGATGGTTACTGTGAAATCAGCACAGTACCTAATATGCTGTAGGTTTTCCCTATGTGTTAATTGAACTGGAATTGGATGAGTACCAATGGGTTTTGTAGGCACTCTCCAATGATTATATATCACATGCTTTTGTTGTCAGCAGTCAGTTTGGATGAGTGAGTCTCCCCTGAACAGCAATGAAAGGAAGAATTGTGCTTTACTTCAAAGTACATTTTAAGCTTGTGAACTCTGAAGCCAGAGTGCCTGAGTTCAGTCCTGTCTCCATTTCTTACTGACTGTGTTAGTATAGACTGTTCACTCAGTCCCTCTTACCTTAGCATCCCCATCTACAAATGGGAACAAAAATCGCATTGACTGTACAGGGTATAACACAAGTAAGTGTCCGGGAAGTATTAATATTATCAGTCAAAACGAGGGGCTACCTGGATGTTAGCTCCTTAAGGACAGGCAGCATGGTTTCATTCTCCCTTGCTCCTTCAGTACTTGACACACAGAGACCCACTAAGCAATGTTGAATTGACTGTGGTCTTCAATGGTCAGGGAAGAACCAAGCTTAGGGTTATTACCACTGCAATCTATATTAATCTCCAAATTATGCTAAATGGATGGTATAGCCACACCTATCCACTGCAATTCTGGCCAGTATTGCTTGGAATTAATGCAAAAAAATTAAACCATCTTTATCTCATTTAGCTTTTATTTAGCTAACACCTTTGAAAACACTAGTGCCATAACTTTAAGACCTTCTTTCTGTTAGCTGTGGTACTATTCTTGTGACAATACTTGTTCAGCTCATGTACATACTTAACTTTTAATACAGGTCCAACTTCACTCTTGTAGAAAAATTGCATCATGCTCTATATAATACCTTTCTTTCCAGATCATAAAGTGCTTAACAACTGAACAAAGGATATTCCCTTAGAGGTAAATATTCTTGGATCTAGGTTAATGGGGCTCATGAGTTCTTTGAAGCCAAAGCATAAACATAAAAGATTGGAACAACACCTGAGGTCATCTACTCTCTCTCTTATGTGGCTTAGATTCCCCAGAGTTGCTCAGATGGATTGAACACCTTCAGTTTTTAAGAAGTTCTCACACCCAAACAGCTCTGAAAGTTAGAGAATGGTTTCTAATTGGTACAGCAAGAATTAGCTCCCTTTCACTT